GGAAGGAGGGAGGGAGGGAGAGAGAGAGGGAGAGAGAGAAACAACCTGAAAAGAGATATTATGAAAATGAGTGTGGTCTCCCCAAAAGTCCCAGGCTCTAGTATTCCGTAAAGAAGTGCACATAAGGGAAGCAGAATGATTGCCAAAGCCTGGAGTCGGGGTGGGGAGGGGAGTGGACGACCTCATAAATTATATAAACGCGGGAACTGAGACATAAATCCGTATCACTGCTCTTACTCCCCATACAACACTTATCATTTCTTTCCACTGGCGGGACAAGCCTGTGATCATCCTATCACCTGGATCAACAAGTGGCTGAGGAACAGACCCAACCGCGCCTGGTGGTCACTGCCTGTCACTCGAAAGGGTTTAGGCAGGACAGGAACGGGAAAGAATCCCGAGAAACAGGTGCTGGTTCGGCCAAGGACTCCCGGGGCTCAGAAACCCGCTGGAGGAGATCGGTGACGGGGAGATGGAGAAGCAGCAGCGGAGAGGATGCGAGCACCCGCGGGCTGCGGTAATGGGGGCGGCGCGACGGCCGGTCCCCGGGCAAACTCACTTTCTTGCTCAGATAGAAGAACATCGTGGGAGCTCGGAGAAGACGACCCTCAGTGGTCGAGGCCCGCAATAAATAACTGGTTCTACGTTTCCATTCCGGAGCCGCGGTGGCTCGGAGAAGCTCCCGTCGCCTGGCAACCGCCGCCACCCAGTCGCATCCGGGGCGCTTAGAGAACTTCCGGTGTGGCTCTCCAGCGGGGCGCTGGTTGTCGTGCGCCTGCGCGGGCGATGGGGGCTGCTGTGGAATCGGTGTGGGGCGAGGTTGGCGGGTACCCTCTTGACTAGTGGCCCGGTTAGCGACCTGCCACCCCGGTGCGCCCCCAGCACGCTACAGCGGCACAGGCGCGCATCAGGTATCAGTATAAGCTAAAGAATGGAGCGCCTTCCCAAAAGGTCTTGAGAAGTCTGTTGTTTCCGATCTCATCTCCCACCCCATCACCCCGGCCCAGTATCTTTGGAAGGGAAAGTCGCTTGTTGCATCTGATAGGCTGGGCCATCGAACAAATAAATGGCCGTGCAGATGTGCGCTTTTGATGATTGCCTTCTCCTTTGAAGGAGGGAACTGGAGAACCCTCGGAAGCAATTTGGGAGTAGGTGCTCTTTTATTTTGCTTTGGAATCTGTCTTAGGGTTTCTATTGCTGCGACGGAATACTATGACCAAAAAGCAAGCTGGGGAGGAAAGGGTTTATTGGGTTTACACTTCCACATTGTAGTCCATCACTGAAGGAAGTCAGGGCAGGAACCTGAAGACAGGAGCTGATGCAGAGGCCATGGAGGAGTGCTGCTTACTGGCTTGCTCCTCATGGCTTGCTCAACCTGCTTTCTTATAGGACTCAGGACCACCAGCCCAGGGATGGCCCCACCCACCGTGGGCTGGGCCTTCCCCCATCAGTCACTAATTAATAAAATGCCTTACAGCCAGATCTTATGGGAGCATTTTTTTTTTCAGTTAATGTTTTCTCCTTTCCAATAACTCTAGTTTGTATGTCAAGTTGACATAAGAGTAGGCAGCACAGAATCCCTTTAACCCCTTATGGACCTCAACGGTCCTTATAAAAGGAGTATTATGACCTTTGGGTCATTAAAGCTATAGTTGCATTGGAGCATACTCTCTCATTTAAAATGTTGGGCTTTTTTTTGTCCAGAGAGCGATTTTCGTATATCTGTCTTAATTTTTTTTATACATGTGGCGATCAGAGATCCGTATCATGCGCCATCTTCTATACCTCTCCTAAGGCAGGCTCTCTCAATAAACGTGGAACTTACAGTTTGGGCTAGACTGCCCGCTCAATGAACTCCAGGATCACTTGCTCCCCAACCCCAGTCCTGAGGTTACAGGTGCACCACAGCTAACCAGGCTCTTCGAGGTGCTGGGGATCCAAACACAGGTCCTCACGTTTGAAGCAAGCACTTTATCCACTGAGCCATTTTCCCATGCTCCCGTTGTCCTTTTTGGAAACCTGAATGTCAACTAAGTCCCCAAATCTAGAAATTCAAGTAGAGCCACTCCTGTGGAGTTATTTGGTCTCACCATCTTCTTATTGTTTGTGGGTTTCCTTTTTTCATAATCTGAAGCTATCAATGTTGGTTCATATAATATAGCATGTGCTTTACAGAAGTGTTAATTTCCCCACTGGAGTCTTTCCCCATCCCAAGCACACACCTTTGAAGCCTTTGACTTTGGTCTATTGTCTCACTACTTCTAGAATTTAAGAGCCCTGGGTGTGTTTGCCTTCAGTATGGAGGTTCCTCAAAAAAAAAAAAAAACCTAGAAATATATCTACCATATTATCCAGCCACGCCACTATTGGGTACATACCCAAAGAATCCAAGAATCCAAGACAATGTACAATAGAAATGCCTGTACATCCACATTTAACACAGCACCATTTACAATTGACAAGTGGTGCAGTCAGGTTAGGTTCTCATCAGTGGATAAAAAGGTGGCATGGATACACACTGAATTATTAGTCAGCCATCAAGAAGATAACATCATTTGCAGGAATGCAGATGGAACTGGAAATCATGTTAAGTGAAATAAGTCAGGAAGACAAGTACCACGTGGTTTCTCTTGTTTGTGGGATGGGGAGGGGGAGCACGAAAAATAAGGTGAGTTTTAGAGCAGAGGAAGAGAACGGGCAGAAGGAGACTACAAGAGTGGAAATGGGAAATAGAGGTGGATGTGATCAAAGTCCAGTCATTACATGTTTGTCTAAAAATGTCACTGTGAGGGGCTGGCAAGGTGGCTCAGCAGGGGAAGGCACCTGCCTCCAAGCCTGCTGACCGGAGTCGGATCCCTGGAACTCACATGGTGGAAGGAGAGAACCACTTCCAAAAACTTGTCCTCAGACTTCCACATGTGCACTGTGGCATGGCATGTGTGCACCCATACACCCATAAACACGTTCACACTCACACTCAAACACACACACACACAAATCTGTAATTAAGTTTTTCATTGATTTTATTTAGGAACTTCCTTTCCATTTACCCTGAACTGACTGACGTTTTAAGCCTCAACTGTGTGAGATTAAATTATTGAAAGAGTATCATCATTTTGTTCTGTTTATCAACTGTTACATATTCAAGAATTACTTGGGGCTGGAGAGATGGCTCAGAGGTTAAGAGCACTGACTGCTCTTCCAGAGGTCCTGAGTTCAATTCCCAGCAACCACATGGTGGCTCACAATCATCTGTAATGACATCTGGTGCCCTCTTCTGGCCTGCAGTCATACATGCTGTATACATAATAAATAAATAAATCTAAAAAGAAAAAAAAAGAATTACTAATTCAGTACAACACAAATACATTTAATAAAAAAATATACAAGAATCACCAAAAAATCAGCCATGACATTAATATAGAAAGATAGGAACTTTTATTATATTAAAAACAATACAGATCAAGTAGCACAAAGTTTAAAGAACTGTTTTATTCCAAAAGTTATAAACTGCATTTAAATAGTACATGTATTTGGTATATTTTGAGTGAAAAAATTAGACTTATTACTGACATTTTTTAAAAAGATAATATTGTCTTGTTACTTGTTACACTAGTTTTATAAATATGTAATTTTGCCAATTACACGCTAAAACAAAATGATAGAATCCAGGGGTTTTTTTTCCCCTTGGCAAAAATCTTAGCACCTTAAGTTTACATCCAGCTCTCATTAGTTTTCATTTCTATGACATAAATGAATCAAAAGTGTCATGTAACATTCACTTAATCTCTGTAAATTATTTTTAGATACATGTATTATAATCCCTTTATTGTAGCTTTAATAATATTTCAGCAAAAAAAAACCCAAAAGTATTAAACAATTCTAAATATATTCATCTCGGTTTAATTATTTGAACTTTTTCTATGTAAATATTTCATAAAATTTGCACTCTCAATAGTAAGGCTGGCTTGTATTATAAATATGACCGAGAGAAAAGAGTCATAAAGTTTTATGAATATGATCATATTTTACTAATATAAACATTTAAAACTTACATGGCTCAATGAGTAAATAACAAAACATCAAACTTTTCACTTTTCATCTCATTAATGATTTCACAGTCACAGCTTAGAGACGCTAAAGCTTGCTCTTTATAAGTGTATGCACATTTATTTCCTTGGTAAATGATACTCATTCTCCAGGAAACCCTCATACTGTTTACTGAATAATAGTCAAGCATTTATAATGGCAGATTATTAGCAGGAACTTCAGAGATAAAGTGTATTAGAGAATGAGTGTTGCGCATCCCAAGCACTCCACGTTTCCAGGCAAGAAGTGTTGAGCAGTTTAAGGACGTACTTGCCCATATTCAGTTAACTTGCAGCTTCTTCAAAATGCTGTCAAGTGGCTAGATGTTAAGGCCAAAGCAACTTATTTTTACACACTAGAAAACATAAGCACACTTTCAAACACTTCAACACAAAAGAAAATTATGTCCCACTCTAAGTGAACAAAACGATTTCCTCATCAAAAGCCTAATCTAAAATTCAAAAATTCAGCATGAAATTACACTCCTGCAGAGGTCTTCAAGTATTTCCCATCCAAAATTGAGTTGGAACAGCATCTCTCAGTGGGGGGGCGGGGGCAAGGCTTATGAAGTCTTGATTAAAGGAATTGCTGAACTGTCCGTCGGTTTGGCTCTCTGGAGACTTTACATTGCTAGGAAACAGACTTCCGTAGATGAGGGAAGAGAAAGGTGTCTTCCGTGTGTGGTGAGGAGAACGGGAATATACTAATATGGGAAGATCGAACGCCAGCTAACCACCAATACCATCTAAAGCATGTGAAAGATTGGGAAACTGATTCCTCCATGCCGCCTGGACCCTCCCCTCCTTCAAAGTCTGACTCCTAGGTCATGCCTAGCCCAGGCTGAATTCCATTCCTCTGAGGTGTATAAGAAGAGAGTAGTTAACTTGAGCGATGCTGAGATAAAGCTCTTTTCCAGAGCTTGTGCTCTGAGTACTGGCTTTGAAATTTTCAAGACAGTGTCATGTTACATTTTGAAAACCATCTTTTGACATCTTGGCTTGCCAAATTGTATAACCATGTGTCATCTGAGGTTCAACATCCAATAGATCCGCTGATTTTTTTTTTTCTTCTGGACATAGGAAGATCTAGAGCTAAGAGTTACTTTAAAATGGGCTGGAGAGATGGCTCAGCAGTTAAGAGCACTGATTGCTCTTCCAGAGGACCAGGGTTCAATTCCCAGCACCCACATGGCAGCTCACAACCGTCTGTAACTCAGGTTCCAGAGGATCTGGCACCTTCACGCAGATATACAAAGAGGCAAAACACCAATGCACATGAAATAAAAATTAAATTTAAAAAGAAAAACGTTACTTTAAAAAAATCATAGCTCAGTTGCTCTGTTATGTAAGAGCTGGATTGGGCACACATATTGCTATTGTTCAAGGCACTAGGAAGCTGAGCAGCAGTGGCTCAAGCCTTTAATCCCAGCACTTGGGAGGCAGAGACAGGCCAATCTCTGTGAGTTCAAGGCCAGCCTGGGCTACAGAGCAAGTTCCAGGACAGCCAGAGTAACAGTTGTTACACTGTAACATGAGAAACCCTGTCTTGAAAATGAATGAATGAATGAATAAATAAATAAATAAATAAATAAATAAATAAATAAATAAATAAATAAATAAATAAATAAATAGGAGAGATGGCTCACAGATTAGGAGCACTGGCTGTTCTTCCAGAGGTTCTGAGTTCAATTCCCAGCAACCACATGGTGCCTGCCTCACAACCATATATAATGAGATCTGGTGCCCTCTTCTTGCCTGCAGGGACACATGCAGACAGAACACTGTATACATAACAAATCTTTAAAAAAAAAAAAACACTAGGGAAAGCAATATGTCGTTTTTATAGTTAAATGTTGAATGAGTAAAAAGGATCTATCATGCCAGTGAAAAAGAATTCTCTTCAAGTGCATTGCCATCTCTTAACTTACAGCAATGAATAAGATACTTGGTAGTAGAATATCCTAAAGTGTTTGGCTCAGTTATAGTATCTAGGTTGGCTTCTAGAAGCCATAGCCATGGCATCAGTATGCTTACTGCTGTACAATTAATGTATCAGTCAGAAATTGAGATTTATAAATAAATTTATAAAAGAAGACAGAGTCCGGTTTGTAGCATAGTTGGTGAGAGTGTGTTGCTCAGCCTGCTGAAGCCCCGGGTTTAATCCCCAGTACCTCATAGAACCAGGCATGCTGGCACACACCTATAACCCCAGCAGTGGGAAGTGGGGCTGGAAGGACCAGAAGTTCACAGTCATCCTCATCTGCACAGCAGGTTTGAGGCTAGTGTGGTTATATGAGACCCTGTCTCAAAAAAAAAGAGGGAGGAGGAGGAAGAAAAGAGAGAGAGAAAGGAAGGAAGAAAGAAAGAAAGAGAAGAGGAGGAGGTAGAGGAGGAGGAAGAAAAGAGAGAAAGAGAGAGAGAGAGAGAGAGAGAGAGAGAGAGAGAGAAAGAAAGAAAGAAAGAAAGAAAGAAAGA